TTCTCTTTACCGATCCTACGGATAGGTTCCTCGGGGATCCGCCAGAGATGACCATGGCCCTCGGAAAATATTCCCATCGACTGGTGGGGTGTACAGGCTCGTCGGGAAGATCAGGTCCGTTGGGGAGGCCGAATTCTCTGTGAGCGAACCAATCCTCAGGTCGGCTGACGCATAGCGCAACCTATAGACTGTTGTCACCGTCCGAAGAGGGGAGGTCCTCGACTCTCTTGGCCTCGGGGGCGTCTTGTCTCGGAGTTTCTCCTCCCCGGGTGTATCTCTTCAGGTGGCCATCCTTGATCAGGATTTCGATCGCGTCCTTGAGGTGGATGCAGTCTTCTGTAACGTGCCTGTGGCTTCTATGGAAGCGGCAGAACTTCAATTTGTCCACGTTGGGCTTGGGGGGTGTCGGCCTGGGGAAGCGGACACCTCCTTGGACAAACTCCATTTTGGCGCATTCGGCCAGTATGTGCTCGCGGGAAGCGACTAGGGCCGTATGCTCCGTGAATCGGCCGGTTGGGCCGCGCTGCTCGCGTTGTTCGCAGGGACGATCCTCTCGTCAGTGATCTCCTCCGCGCTGGTGGCTTGAGGCTCCGTCCTCTAGGGGCCCACGGGGGGTCTCTCTGTCTCGTGTGTCCCGGGCGGAGTTGGCTGCTTGAGTTTCCTCGAACCGGATGTAATGCGCGGCTCTGTCGAGGAAGTTCTGTAGAGAGGCTGGTCGGTGTATGGCCACGGCTTCGTAGAATTTGGAGTCTCGGTGCAGGCCTTGCTCCATCAAGTAACGCTTCATCTCGTCTGACGTCGTTACCTGTATTGCTTCCCGTGTGAATCTTTCGATGTACTTCCGGAGGGGCTCGTCGGGAGCTTGGATTATGGCGCCTAGCGCGGCTTCCGTCTTCAGATGGCGTCGGGATGCCGTGAAGTGTCTCGAAAAGAGGTCCTTCAAGACCCTCAACGACGTGACCGACTCTGGCTCCAGACTCTTGTACCATGTCATGGCACCTTTCCTCAGCGTTGTCGGGGAATAGTCTGCATTTGATAGCTCCTCGGACATTTCGGTAGTCGAGCATGGCCTCGACGTCTTCCAGGTGGTCGTCTGGGTCGGAGGTGTCGTCGTACGTCGAGAGTGTCGGGGGTTTCTCCATCCTGTGGGGAATGTGGGCAGCCATGATCTCTCGGGACAAGGGGGTCCTGTAGTCGTCCTCGTCACTGAGAGTTGGTGACCGAGGGGGTGACGGCCCATTCAGCGGAGGCGCCTGATTTCGTGCCCTCTATCTCCTGACCAGGGGTTCGACCCTCAGAGGTCTGGCTGGGGGATCCCCTCTGGTTGGTCGTCTCTCCCGAACTTGTCTCGTTGGGGACCTAGTCCGCTCCCGCACTACTTCGGGTTGGGACCTCTCCAGCCGAGGTCGTCGATCCTTGGGACGAGGTGAGGGACTCCTCGAGTTCCCGATCTGGTCTTCCCGTGGAGGGGACCTTGGCGGGACCTCGTGCTCTAGTGCGCCAATTCGTACGTTCTGTTGAAATAACAACTGATTCGTTTGGTTGATGGCCGCGAAGAGGGTGGCCACCGTCGGGTCCGCTCCGACCGGAACAGGGATGGGCTGGAATGTTACTGGGCTCCTTGGTCGGAGGACAGTCTGGTGTACAGCTTCCGCGAATGAGGGAGAGGCAGTCTGGTCGTCTCTCTCGTCGGTCTCCGGAGGTTGGGACGTCTCCGTTTGCTTGCCGCCGTTCGCGGCAGGGGCGAGGATGAAGTCGTGAACGACATCGTCGTGGTGTGGGTTAGCCATGATCGCGGAATGTTGGTGAAAACTTTGGTTCTCTCCTCGGAGGAACGGGGAAGTTTTTTAGTTTCCCACAGACGGCGCCACTGATCTGACCTGATCAGAAAGGGATCGCTGACTGCCACGTGTCTTCGACTTATTGCCTACTCACCGGTATTGAAGAAGAGGAGGGGGTATACCTGCAAGACACTCCAATGCTAAAGTAAGTGTATGAGCAGAGTGATCACAAGTACAGAAAAAGGGTAAGAAGTGAATTACCTGACCCTCTTGTGAAATAGGGTATTTATAGAGAGACCCCAGCGCTGAGCCAACAGTCACTTGTGTTGGGCTGGATTGTCAAGCCCAACCCAGGTGACTGCTAAGGCTTACGTGGCGTAGTGAAGACCAGGACGTGGTCTTCGCCCTAGTCCAACTGTCTCGTGATCTCCGGAAAGTGGGTTTGACCTGCTCTTTCAGAGGTGGGCAGTTGGTTGGTGACGTGTCCCCGCGGAGGGGAGCACGTGGAGAACGTGTGAATGACACATTGTCCTGCCTGACAGGGGAGTGAGTTCTGCCCGCGGAGAGGGCAGGTCTGGTCGATGGGAGAGTCTTGTGCTCGACACAGATGGGGCAGGTTCTGCCTGCGGAAGAGGATAACCTGTCCGCCGAGGACCTTGTGCTCGAAGGCTGCAGCTTAAGATAAACTGGGATTGACAGAATATTATTGGACTGGGCCTGCGTGGCCAAACCGGAGCCCAAGCCAGAACAGTTTCATTAATATTCTCTCTTTTATTTTTTATTTTTTATTGTGAAGCTAAAAAAGAGTGGAAGCAAAAATTACTTGAGAAGTAGTGCTAGTTAGGCGGAGGCATCCACGAGTGTGGTGGGTCAAGTTGAATACGAGTAAGAGGAAGCGATGAAAAGAGGATTCATAATTGGTGGTTTGGCCAGGACTTATGTGGAGCGTATGTAGGCTTGTCCTTTGCTAGAAGACAATGATTTACATCAGTGGGGTTGCATGTCAATTCTTTAGCCATGGTGCATGTTTTCTAAAGTCTGAGTGGTAGGACACTTGTCAAGAAGATCCATTGTCTCATGAAACTAGCATGGGAGGTGGTGGTCTGTGTCAGGAAGACCCATCGTTTCATGGAACTGGCATGGGAAATGGTGGTCCACCATTTCTATAATGAAGCTGATCAAAGTACAAATACTTTAGCCAGTTTCGGAAATATTTTGAATTCTCTCCTATACTGTTTTTTCAGATGTGTTTAGGAACTTACAGTTTTTTTTACTTTTAGTTTTTTTTCTCAAAAGCTATTTGAACTTATAACTTTTTATTTTAATTTTATATATATATATATATATATATATATATATATATATATATATATATATATATATATATATATATATATATATATATATATATATATATATATATATATATATATATATATATATATATATATATATATATATATATATATATATATATATATATATATATATATATATATATATATATATATATATATATATATATATATATATATATATATATATATATATATATATATATATATATATATATATATATATATATATATATATATATATATATATATATATATATATATATATATATATATATATATATATATATATATATATATATATATATATATATATATATATATATATATATATATATATATATATATATATATATATATATATATATATATATATATATATATATATATATATATATATATATATATATATATATATATATATATATATATATATATATATATATATATATATATATATATATATATATATATATATATATATATATATATATATATATATATATATATATATATATATATATATATATATATATATATATATATATATATATATATATATATATATATATATATATATATATATATATATATATATATATATATATATATATATATATATATATATATATATATATATATATATATATATATATATATATATATATATATATATATATATATATATATATATATATATATATATATATATATATATATATATATATATATATATATATATATATATATATATATATATATATATATATATATATATATATATATATATATATATATATATATATATATATATTTACTATTATTTTGATTTTAAAATTTATAGAAATTTTGAAAAATGCTATAGCAAATTTTTAATATTTTTCTACTTTATTATAATAAATATTATTTTTATTTATTAAATATAAATTATGTAATTAAATTTAAAAATAGAGTTTATAATTCTCAAATTAGTAAAATATCGGAAAAGAATCAATAAAATAAACAAAGATGAATTTTTTTTTAAGTTTTATCGTAAAATATTAGACGATAAACTTATTTTTAATATAATTAAATTTAAAATTACAATATTATTATTTTATATTTTATTATATTTAATTATAAAATTAAAAAAAAGGCTATATTTTACGGAAAAATAAATTAAATAAACCAAAAGTTATAGTTATTAAGATTATTTTTACTTTTATGAATACATAAAAGACTTTATAAAATATCCTAATCTTTTTATTCATTAAATTTTATTGTCTTCATAAATAATTTTATAAAACACCCTTAATTCTTTTATTTACTAAATTTTATTGTCAATATATAACAAAGCTCATGAAATTTATATCCAAATGTATATATTTTGATAATATCTTTAATTTTTATATATATTAAAATTATTTTGCATGTTATTGTTAATACATTTATTTTTATCAAATAAAAATTAATTTAATAATAATAATATAAAATAATGAAATCACTAATTTCTTAATTAAAAATGTCTTTTTAAGTTATTTTATAATTATCAGTTAGAATAACAGTTAATTTACCAAACACTCAAATTAATTTATCAACTATCAGCCATCAGCTATAAATTATCGACTAATTTTGGCAAACAGAGCATAAGAAAAAAATATGTAATAAGCATTCTTATGAAACAAAACTTTTATTACTCAAAGTCAACATTTTTATTGGGAAATAAGAATTCCAACACTCAATTAATTGAGTATTTGTTTACTAAATCTCAAACATCATCGTGCCACCTCTGATTGAAACATCCATTTGAACTCATGTCAAACAAACTTCAAGATTACATCCGAGTGTTTCAACCATTTGAACTCATGTCAACCAAACTTCAAAATTAACCAAAGTTAATTCCCTGAGCTAATGGCAATTTACTTCCATAATTGATGGTACTGCACAAGACAACAATTATAATGCCATTAAAGAGCATGCACAGAAAAATAAGATATATTGTTTACTATTGACAAAACATGTAGAAAAGATGATGCATCATCTTAAATTTAACTAAGAGTTACCATGTAGATCGGCGCATGTATTGCTTCCATGAGTCACTTCCAGCTTCACGACCACCACCAGTTGCCTTTTCTCCACCAAAGGCACCTCCAATCTCAGCTCCATTTGTTGGTATGTTCACATTTACAATACCACAATCACTTCCACTTGGCCTACACAACAATCACACCCATGAGTATGCAGAATATGTTACCACAATCGTCTTTGAAGGGGTTTCGGTTAGTCCTCAAATGCTGGAGCCAAAGTAAGAATGCTTACCCTATCCATTTGAATATAGTGGCAGGCTTTTGTGTGAAGATGGAACTACTCAATCCTTGAGATACGGAATTGTTCAAGGCAATTGCTTCTTCAAGATCCTGTAGAAAATTCGAGAAATGCATTCAGATACAAAATTCATATGGAAACAACTTCAATAGAATATAAGATATATATAGATAATATACTACCTTAAATTTCATAACATAGAGAACTGGAGCAAACAATTCTTCTTTAACTACAGCTGCGTCTGCAGAAATCTCAACAATCGTTGGCACGACAAAGTTTCCTTCTGACTCTAATACAGATCCCCCTGTTACAATCTTCCCTCCCTGATAATCAGAGAATATAGTTAACCAACTCCGCTCAATGAATACAAGCATACATCATATTTGAGGAAAAAGTTGCATATAATACCGAGCAAAATTATATAACATGGAAAGTTACATGCAGACCTTATTTTACTCAACTAGAAAAGACTGACATGACTTGCCTGAGATTTAATTGCAGAAATACCATTCTTGAAATTTTCCACAGCAGAACGAGTATGCAGAGGCCCAACTAGTGTCCCTTCCTCCAGAGGATTCCCAATTTTGACTTGTTTGTAGAGTGCGGTAAGTTGTTCAAGCACGTTTGCATAAACACTCTCATGCAGATACTGCAGTACGATGCAGCTCGATTGAATATTACATATACTTTAAGAAAATCACATATGGATACATTCAAATTGTGAAATCAATTTTTCAAAATTGGTTTCAATACCAGTCTACGGCAGGTTGTACAACGCTGACCAGCAGTGCCGACAGCTGCAAAGAAAATAGAGCGTACAGCCAGTGTGATATCGGCATCATCCATGACTATTATTGCATTGTTACCACTTAACTCAAGCAAGGTTTTGCCAAATCTTTGACTCACTGTTTGCTGGACCAGTGCGCCCACCTATAATAGGAACCCATCATTATCAGCTCAATACTATAGACAGTAGTAACGTACTAAAGCAAACAATTGGTACAGTATCTCAACATAATTTGTTTTAATAGGACGCAAGAGCAACATATACATGATTACAGTGTTTCACAAATATAGGTATTTGGACCAAGAAGATGAAGCTATAGGGTGTTAAGAGATATCACATCTTTATAAATAGTTATTGTAATAAGACCTACACGCAATACCTGAGAAATTTTCAGGTGACAACTTGGTCTTTAATGTTGTCGATTGCGAATAGCGGAAAATAGAGAACTCTTAAAATTATGCTTTTCAATAGTGCTGTAGCTCCACTATAGCAGCTACTTGACAAAACTTTGAACTAAACATGCAGAATAATAGCAGTTTGTCTAAATTCCTCCACGCTATAGTGGTAAAGTGTTGCTATAGCGGATATATAACACTAATTTTGACACAATGGGAATCTAAATATCACATGTTTAAGACAATGGGTCTAGCAATAACGTAAACAAATAAAGCAAACAAAAAAACTACCTTTGAGCTTCCGGTAAATGAAACCAAAGGAATACGTGTGTCTTTCGCTATTGCGTGCCCAATATCAGCACCTCCACAGAGAGAGGTAAATATTGCTCCGGGTAAATTGTTCCTCTCAAGAACTTCAGCAATCAGCTTTGTCACGGCAACAGTTATCAACGGAGTAGTTGGAGCACCCTTCCTGTAATTTGTGTGGTGATAAGAAAAAATTGTAATACATAGATAACAAAATTTTATTAAAAATTTGAAACACACTGCAGGAAGCTTACGATATATCCCATAAAAAGTTCACAAAGATTTGCATAAAAGTCATTTAGTTCATTGTGATCTGCAACAAGAAAATTGTCCTGAAATTTTTAGGCAGTGATACGTCAACTTACCAAACAACAGTGTTACCACCGACTAGGGCAATGCAAGCATTCCATCCTAAGACAAAACAGAAATGATCAGGGTATAAATATTTATCATTAGAATGACCAGAAAATTTTCAGTGCAAGAAAAAGCATACCTAGTACAGCACATGGAAAGTTGAAAGCAGTGATTACACCAACGATTCCTAGTGGGTTCCATACCTGTAGTGTAAGAGCAGAGTAAAGTTCATAACTAAACCTCTATGGTAAAATGGTAACCAAATAACAGAATAATCACGGTTTAATATCAAACCTCAAACATCATATGTTCGGGACCTGTAAATGAAAAGAGTTGAAAAAATTAACTCAGAACCAAAAAATCATGGAAAGAAATTAGCATAAAAAACATAAGTAAAATAACTTACGTTCAGATGGGATAATCGATCCATTCAGTTGTCTGCTCAGCCCAACAGAATAATCACACATATCAATAATTTCCTGTTAAAAATAATATGAAAGATTACAAAATGTTTCCATGGATGTCACAGGAAAAATCACAAAACAAAATTGACAAATCAAATCCTTTTGCAATTTAAAAAACATTTACTATTTAAATCATCATATACACAGTTGCAGCCAACAATTTGCAGAATAAAGAGATTTTACATACCTGAACCTCACCAATTCCTTCAGCAAGAATTTTGCCCATCTCAAGAGCCACCAACCTACCAAGTGGATCCAACTTAGCCCTCAATGCATCCCCAATCTGTCTTACAATCTCACCTCTTTTCGGTGCCGGAACCTGTGAAAACATCACAAGTTCATTCTCATTTAGTTTCGGAGTGTACCCAAATTCAGTATGAGCTATGCGCTAATTCGCAAAAATCAATGAAATAAATATTAAAAAAAACTCACATTCCTCCATGTCTTAGCTGCTTCACTGCTAGCTTTCAACCCCTCTTCATAATCATCCAAAGATGCTTCAGTCACCGAACCAATAACCTAAATTCAAACCAAACAATAATTAAACACATAAACATAAAAGGTAAAATCTCCAGCAAACCATGAAAACAAAACAAGTGCTTATTCGGATTGTTTCAAAATCACGGTGAACCCGTAATTTCAACAAAAACTACACTTTATAGCTTTACCAAAATCTCTCAACCAAGATCAAGCTAAATTCACCTCAAATCCAACCATGCACATGCAAACCCACTATTACATCAATAATCAATCAACCTCAAACACGAAATCATAGAAACAAGTTTTCAAATAAAAAAAAGTGGGAAAAGGAATAGTGCGAAAGCAAGTAACCTGATTGGTGGAAGGATTGACAGAATCAACAGTTGGACCGTTGGCTTTCCATTTGCCATTGATGAAAGAGCCGATGTTATTGGCACCCAAACCGATCTCCTTGAAGAATCCCAAATTGTTGCTATCAGAACCCATTTCTCTGGAACTGAAATGATGATCGTGTTTTCGAAGTGTTGTGATTTGGTTCTTGAAATGATAATGGGGTGAAAATGCTTTCGGTGATGTTGTCGTTAATATAGACAAAGTTTGAGATAGGGACAGATAATGTGACCCAATTTTTTAGAAACACGACACCGTGACGTTGATTTGATCTATATCTTTTACTCGCAACTATAATAAAGAACCCAAACATTAAGTTATGCGCATTTGTACAATACATTAGCATATTATGTTACAATTCTAGATTCCAAATATTTTCACACTATCCAACATTTTTAGGAATTTGCTCTTTATGTAATGACATACTTCCAGAGCAAGTGATTAATTTAGAATGAAAATTTATTTTAATTTCTGATGATTTTATTCAATTCTACTCTTTATTTATTACTTTTATCATTTCTAATACTTGATAATAAATACTTTAATAAAAATATTATTTTCTTTTTCATTTTTATTTATTATTTATTTGAAATGCTTAAATGAGTCGCTTATTATGAAATGAAAAGAGTAGTAATTATAAATTAGTTAAGAGTCAGGATCCGTTGATAACAGATATAAATTTAAAAAACTTACAACAAATCTAAATCGTCAATCAAATTAAATGATATAAAAAAATATATTGTCATTTCTTTCGGAGAGAGAGACTTATGGAATGAAAATAGTAGTAATTATGAAATGAAATATAATACATAAATTAGTTAAGTGTCTGAATCCATTGACAAAAGATATAAGTTTAAAAAACTTACAACAAATTTAAACCGTTAATAAATTAAATCGAACAATCATATTAAATTATATAAAAAAATACATTATTATTTCTTTTTTCTATAAAATATACAACTTATAAGACCATTTGATTTATTTATATTAACACTTGAAATTTCGTGTAAGATTTTTAGACTTACTCTTTGTTCTGGCCTGAGTCCAGCCTCGCGGCCCAACCCAATAACGCGCAAGGCCCAATGAGTGGAGTAGCTTGACCGGGCACGCGCCCCCACCGGACGGGCAGGATACGCTCCTTGTCAAACAGGACGGCGTGCTTCTAAGCGTCCTCGGCGCCCCCTAGCCGGACAGAACAGCCTCCACGGGCAGAATCCCCCCTGCCAACGGGCATGACAATATGTCTCCCCCGCTCTCGTGTGCTCCCCCCTTCGGGGAGGGCCACACACCGCTAGGGAATCCCACGAGCTCCCCTCCGCGGAGAGAACAACGTGCTCTCAAGGAGTCCCACGAGCTCCCCTCCGCGGGGAGAACAACGTGTCAGCCGCACGTTCTCCACGTGCCCCCCTCCGCGGGGACACGTCATCCCCTCAACTGCCCACCTCCGAAAGAGCAGGTCAAACCCACTTTCCGGAGACTCGGGACAGTTGGACTAGGGCGAAGACCACGTCCTGGTCTTCACTACGCCACGTAAGCCCTAGCAGTCACCTGGGTTGGACCTGGCAATCCAGCCCAACGCAAGTGACCGTTGGCCCAGCGCTGGGGTCTCTCTATAAATACCCTCTTCCTCAAGAGGGTCGGGTAATTCACTTCTTACCCACTTTCGGTACTTTGCTCTCACTCTGTCCAAATTCTTACTTTGGCATCGAAGTGTCTTGCAGGTACACCCCCCTTTTTTCCACCTCATCACCGGTGAACAGGTAGCAGTCCAATAGAGTGTGGTCAGCCCGTGATCCCCTTCTGATCAAATCAGTGGCGCCGTCTATGGGAATAGAAACTTCCCCGTTACTCCGAGCAGAAAACCAAAGTTTCACCAGCACTCCACGAACAGGGTCATACTCAGGGGCCTAAAACGACGACTTGGCGACGCCAAGCGGGCATGGGTCGAGGAGCTCCACAGCGTCCTTTGGGCATACCGCACTACGCCCCACTCAACCACGGGGGAAACCCCATTCCGCCTCACGTATGGAACCGAGGCAGTGATTCCGGTCGAGATACGCGAGCCATCCAGACGGACTGAAGCTCCCCTCGGCTCCAACGACAACTTACGAGAGGAGCTCGATCTCGTCGAGGAGATTCGCTACTGCGAAAATCGGCGCCGACTGAACAGAAGACTCGCCACCGTGCGTTATTTATCCCAACGGAGGGAAAGGAAACGCTCGAAGTAAACCTCGCAAAAAACGGGAAAGGTATGGTCATCGCAACCAAAACCTGGATTCGGGAGTCGGTTACGCAAGGGGAAGGTATTAGCACCCCTCACGTCCGTCGTACTCGACGGGATCCACGCTTGCCTGGTTTGTCTAAAGGATGCAAAAACAATCTATCTACGGCTGCTAAATCTAAACGGAAGGGAATTGACTCGATAGAGCGTCGCACTTTATGCCTATGTATTCTCAAGAGAGAAAGTCAGAGTCAACGTAGTTCGGGAAACTACAGGGAATTGGCTCGCAAAGACTTCGCGTCTTGTGCCTACGTACTTCCACACTGCATGGAAGATCAGAGCTTACGTAGTTCAGGCTAACTACGGCTAAACAGGGTGTTCTCACACAGCAGTGAGAAATTAAACTGGTTTTAAAGGTACGGGGACCTATGGGAAATAAAACTACGGTCTGGTCTCAAATGCACTCGGGCAAGAGAAAGGGATAACAATCAGTCGTCAGCGGGAAAGTCTCCATCGCACAGCAGCGAGAGAACAAAAGGTTAGTCGTTAGTGTGCTCGCTAGGATATCGCATCCTATGCCTACATATCCTCGCTCAGTACGAGGAATCAGAGCAGCTGTAGTTCGGCTACTTTCGGGACCACAACTCAAATCTCGTTTTATTAATATTCTGAAAATGATTACAATGACTGAATACAAAAAATAATCTCCTAGGAAATACTATCCTATCCATCTATCATGGAAAAAAAAATCAAATGGAAAATAGTCCCCTAACAAATGGACTTTTAAAACTATCTCTAAAAATGTGAAATAAACTCCTATGAAAAATTATATCCTAAAAGAAAAATATTAAATCTACAATGTAATATTCTTTACTATTTTTCAAGTATTTCCCTTTTTTTTCAAATATTCTTTTTCTATTTCTCTTCATGTATTTTTCACTCTTTTTTTCTTTCTTTTTTTAACATATTTTTCACTCTTTTTCTCTTTCTTTTTTTCAATATTTTTTCATGTATTCTTTTCTCTTTTTTCACTATTTTTCATATATTCTTTTCTCTATTTTTTTCACTATTTTTCATATATTCTTTTTTTCATTTCATTTTTCTCATACTATAATAAAGCAACAAAAAACCATACAAGAAAATAGAAAATAAAATATAAAGGGAGGGGGGTGTGACTGTTACAGGGGTGTTAAGTAATAAAAAACAAAAACAGCAGCAACATGGGCCCAGCCCAATATCTCAACAGACACACACGCAGGGGGGGGGGGGTGTTCACAAAAACGGGGGTGATGCTAGTAACAAAAACCGTTGGGCCCGGCCCAACCAACCAGAAGCAAAAAAACGGAGGGGAAGGTGGGAACAGGGGTGTGAATTGGGAAAGGAGTTGGGCCCAAGGCCCATGCCCACTGAGTCCAACACTCTCCCTCACTCTCATTTCCAATCTGAAACCCTAGAGGCTCTCCCTCTCTCCCTCACGGCGTCGTCCATCTCTTCCTCCCTCTACCCCTCTCCGTCCTCGATCTTTTGTTCTACTAACACAAAACTTCATTCGATCCTTTATTCACTCCATTCATATCACAAACCAAAGCAATTTCAACCTTGTAATCATCCGCGAGCAATGATGAACACATCATCGAAGCACACTCAGAAGAAGCTTGAAAATGTTGAAGGTTGTTGAATCGGAAGTTCTTGAAGTTGCTGGAGATTTGAGGACGAGATGAAGATTGAGTGGCATGCAAAGTTTCGGTGGTTGATGATGTTGATGAAGACGTTCATGGTTGGAGATTTCTGGAATCTTGATGAACAGAAACATCTTGACGAAGGGATGAACGCGGATGAACGTGATGATTGCTAAAGAACGAAGAACATGTGATGATAATCTAACAGTTTTGGAAAAAACTGACGCTGAAACATATGAAGAGCCAGATGATGATTCCAGGTGAATCTTGAAGTGGTGACGAACGTTGCAATGATGATGATCGGAGAAAACTGATGAAGAGTGTTGAGGAGATCCGATGAAGGTTGTGAGTATTTTCTGGAATTAGATGAACATTGGTGATGATAATGATGATCGGATGTGGAAGAAAGTTGATGAATCGGTGTTGAATGTTCCATGAAGATCGATGAAGATCTTCTGGAAAATCTGACGAACATTCGAGATCTGGAAAATCTGGATCTGGTATGATGTTCTTGATGAAGATCGTTGCAGCTTTCTGGACAACGAATGAAGAACACGAGGGAGGTTCTTGAAGCTTCTTCTGGAAAATCTCGATCCGTGGATGAACTCAGATCAAGATCTGGAAAAACGGTTATGAAGACTGACGATCATGGAAATTTCTGGAAAAAATCTGGATGATGAGCGTATGAAGGTGATGAAGATCATGGTGATTGTATGAAGAATCTGGAAAAAAAAAAGATGAACGGATGAAGGCTCTATGAATTTTCCGGCGGAAATCAAGAGGTTTCCGGCGAGTTTTGAGTGGCTTGATTTCGCCGGTGAGTGCCTCCGGTGAGTTTGCATGCGGTTGATGTGGTTATGCCACCTCAAGGGGTAACGTGGCGGGCATGCGGAGAGAGAGGACGCATGGAGAACGTGTGGCTGGGACGTGGCAGAGAGAGAGTGAACGGGAAGGGTGATGTGGCCGTGTGAGAGTGAATGGGAAAAGTGAGGTGGTAGCTTCCGAAGCTGCACGCGTGGCGCAGACTATATATGGACATGTGGCGTTTTTCTGGACTGATAGATTGGGCCTCCAAAAACACTCTCTGGGCCCACGAAATGGATTTGGACTGGATTAAAAATTGATGAAATCTGACCCATTAATCCTAATTAATATTGATTAAAACTAAAAACTACAATTAAAAGACTTAAAACCTA